GAGGGAATTGGGCCCCACCTTTTCAAGGAAGGGGGATCAAAAAATTGTTAAACTTGCCCTGGCCGGTTTGGCTCAGAGGTTAGAGCATCCGCCTGCGGTCTGGAGAGACCCGGGTTCGGTTCCCGCTAAGGGCATGTACCTCGGTTGCAGTTTGTCCCCGGCCCTGGTTGGTCGTGCGGGTGGCGGCAACTCGATGTGTCCCTTTCACATCGATGTTTCCCTCTCTCTCTCTCTCCTCTCTCTCTCTCTTCCTCTCTCTCCCTCCCACTCTGTCTGTACAAAAAATGGAAAAATGTCCTTGGATGAGGATTTAAAAAAAAAAAAAAATTGTTAAACTTTAAAACCACCGCAGGGATTAACTTGACAATCTCTCTCCAAATTACAAATGCATTTGCCCTTTGACCCCATCTCTTCTTAGCCCTTACCCTGTGGGTCTCACTGGCACGCAGATTCATTGCTCTGTTGATTGTAAGGCCCAATATAAGACAACCCAGTGTCCATCTGGAGGGGTCTGGATATGTGAATAGCTGTCCATCCATTCTGCAGAGTATTCTGTAGCTGTGTGGGTGGAGAGACAGACAGACAGACAGACAGGAATCTGTCGAGTGCTGTGGAGTCATTCCCAAGATATGTTGTTAAATGCAAAAGTGTTGTGGAACAGCGAGTGCAGTAGCCTACCTTTTGTCGAACAAAAGGGGCAGTGGGATTTGCTGGTATTTACATCAAGAAACTCTGGAAGGAGACACAAGAAGTTCCCAAGCGCTTACTCAACAGGATGGGAAGAGGGTCAACAGGCCGGGGTACAGGGTGCGACTTCTCAATGCAGACCTTTGAACACTGTTTCAAATCTGGGAGCTACACGAATGCATAATCTATGCATAAGAATTTAGCAAAAAAGAAATGTAAAATAATCCACAAAGCTGGGGCCAAGGCAGCCGGCTGACCCCTAACCCTGCAGGGCTCCCCTGGCCAGGCTGAGCTGCCTGCTGGCCTCCTGAGCTCACCATCTCGCCTTGACCGTTTCCTGGCCCCCTGGGGGCCCCTGGCTCTGCATGGCATTGGTTGGGGGACCTCGCCTGGGAGCTGCTCCCTCCTCCCAGCTTCTCCCCTGCCCGCAGCCAAGCACCATGTGGATTCTGACACGATTTCCATTTTCCTTGCAGCCAAGAAGTCCTCATTCCTCAGGAAGCTGTGCGGCGACCCAGCTGAGGGCCCCACTCCCCAGGTATGTAGCAGAGGACAGCTGGCCTGGAGGCTGGCAGGTCGCCACCCAGCCAGAGATGCCCTGGTCCCAGCCTCCCCACTCGCCCCACAGGGCCATCTCCGTCCGTCTCCCCGCTCAGGCAGAATCGGGGCTGCCAGCTGCCTCCATAAGAGGCTGTCTCCCCACGGCTCCCAACCTCAGCCCCGAGCTGGGGCAAGAGGACTCTCAGGACGGCAGCAGCGGCTTGTCGGGTGACGTCCTCCAGGGGCCAGCAAGTCAGGTCCCCTCGGATCAGACCCCTCCTGTCCTGAGGGCCAGCTGGGCACAGCTGTTTCGAACCAACAAATTAGCAACGTCTTCCTGATTTCAGACCCCACTCAGCCCTCCTCCCGGCCTCCTTCCCGCAGTGTCCTCACTACGTGTCCTTTGTACAAATGGGGGCTCAGAGGGGTGACAGGCCTTCCCAGTTACCGTGTTAACAGGGAAAGAGCACTGGTCCCCACCACACTCTCTGCCAAATGCTTTATGAAGAGGTTATTCGCTGATTGCTCCTTGGAGTAGGTTCCGGGGTTGTTCCCAGAGCCCAGGGGAAGCTGAGGCTGAGGCCAGGAGAGGTGCCTGGGGTGTCACTGTCGGGAGCATCGGCACCAGGGTCCCTGCCCACCTACCCCTTGCCCAGGCTGCTTGGAGCCTGGGCCTGCAGGGCTCACTGTCTAACGACCACTCTGGCCTCACCTGCCAGCCCTAAACAGCCCTGGAAGCTGTGGGGCCCCAGGCCCCAGACCCTCCCCCCTCCTCTGTGCAGTGTCCTAGGAGCAGCCTGTTCAGGGGCAGGTGAAGGAGGCCCTGCAGGTCAGAGGCCTCAGCACCTCTGCACACCTGAGCCCCTGGGCTTCACGGCCTGTCGCCGTGGGAGCTCTGGGCCTGGGTCTGGAAGCCGGCCCCCCTAGGCCGTCTGAGAAGTTCAAGAGGGGAAGTCCCACGGACTGGAGTCCCTCTTGCTCCTAGGGAGGGCCCAACACCAACCCCCAACTGGTTCAGAGCCGGCTCTGGGCCCGACTTTTTCTGCAGCAGAGTAAAGAGCTTTCCCTACGGGGCGTCCTTGGAGCCCGCAGCAAAGGGGGCCCCCAGGAGACTCCCTGGCCTGGGTCAGAGTGCGTGGAAAGGCAGGCCACCTTGCCCAAGCTGCTGGCTGCACTGGACGCCCACTTACCTGGGTGCTCCTTGCCCACCCTGTAAAGGCCTCGCTGTCCAGGAACTGGCCCCACTCTCCACGGTTCCTTCCGGGGCACAGAGCCCCTTCTCCCAGTGTTCCCAAGCAGCCACACCTGCCTGGGCCCACAGTTCCCAAAAACTGATGCCACCTCCTCTAGGAAGCCTCAGATGCCAGCCAGGCAGGAGCCTCTCCTCTGACGCCCCCAGCCCCAAGTTGAGTTACACCTGGCATGCTGTAGGGACTCAGTAAATGGCATTCCCTGTCCTGCCCCTGCCCAGCCTCTGTGGGCCCCGCAGGAGCTCTGAGCAGGGTCAAAGCCCAGAGCTGCAGTCTCCTTCCTCACCTGAACGCTGGGCACCGGGCAGGTGTCCAGAGCGCTCTTGTGAGTTTGAACGTGTGAACAAGGGGTCCGCCCCAGTGACTGGCCTTCCCGCCAAGAACAGCTGGTCCTGGTTGCTGGAAACGAAAGGACCCTTCGAGATAACTTGGTCTGACCCCTCCCCTTTGGCTGATGGGGAGAGGAGCCCAGAGATGGACAGTGTGACTTGGGTCCTCACAAAAGCCACAAGGCAGGTTTCCGGGCTCTGCTCTCAAAGTCCTTGCTCAGAAGCAGCCTGAGTCCTGCTGCTCCCAGCTGGTGGCTGAATGGGGCCATGTGGCCGGGCCTGCCGGCAGCGAGACCAACTGAAACAACCCTTCCGCAGGGACCCAGGGTCTTAGCAATGTGAGCTACTTCCTCCAGCCCCAGCGGGAGCTTCCCGGGCAGAGCTCGGGACTAGCTGGAGGCTGCAGGGGCCTCTGAGAGCACGTGGGGCTGCTGCTCCTCTGCAAGCCCACCCCGGACGGCCCAGGTGGCCCCACCTGAGGTGTAGCTGCAGCCTGGCTCCCAGCAGTGCCCCATGCACCGATGGGGGCACTGAGGCTGGGGAGACGCAGGGAGGGAGTGCCCCTGGCTGCCAGGCACCATGCCAGGTCACAAAAACGTTGAGCCTCGGAACAGCCTGATGAGGGTGGCACCGTTACCACCCGTTTCAAGGATGTGGAAACCGACCCCTCCTCCACCTTGAGTGCCTGCTACGCGCCCGACTCCATGCTGTGGGGATGCGGCAGAGAATAACCCTCAGGCTCCCCAGTTTGGGGCCCCCAGGCTCAGGCAGAAACAAATAGTCAGAAAACCACACAAACAGCAGATGGTCCACGGGGGACCTAGTACCCAGTGTGGACACAGTGACTCATGTCATTTCACAACAGCCTCATCAAGGGGCTCTCCTGGGATCCCGATTTTCTGGGCTCAGGGATGCTGAGGGACTAGTCCCAGGTCCTCCGGTGGGTCAGTGGCTGAGCCAGGACTTGCACGGGGCGGCTCCGAGTCCAGCAGGGAGGATGGCGTGGCACAGGCAATGCCCTCTCTGGTGCAGGGGCTTCGTGAGGGGCCCAGGCTGCTGCTGGCTCCACACAAGGCACACCTGGCCCCAATCAGGTGTCTAGACCATGTGTGGCGTGGCTGGAGGAGGCCCTTCCTGGGGACCCGCAGACCCCGGGAGTTATTCACCTCCCCACAGCCCTCATGGTTCTGCCCTCCAGAGCCCCCGTGAAGACAGAAGTGACCGATGGAAGGCGTTCAGCTCCCTGGCCCCCAACCAAATGCTTATGCTGCTGTTACTGCTGTCATTCATTCATTCAGCAAGCTTCACCTACAAGCCCTTGCCCTAAGGTCTCCCAGTCTAGAGATGGAAAGGGGAGTAGAGGGCTAGCCCCAGGCAATGGGGCCCAGAGAAGAGGGTGAGACCTCTGCTTAGGAGGGGGAGGGGCACCCGCGGGGATTCTTATGCCTCGAATCAGGCAAGACACCCCTCCTCAGTGAGTATGATGCAGGCCCCACCGGGGAGCTGACTAGTGGGTCCCCAGAGCGAGCAGCTTGAGGCTGTCCTGTGCCCACCAGCTGCAGGACCATCACAGGACCAGGCGTGAGCCTTAGGCCGGGCTCAGCTGTGCGTAGCCTCACCCCTTCGTTCCCAGCTCAGCTTGTGGTGTGCGGCCCCTCTCTCAGCAGGTGAAAGTGTCCCCTCTGTCCTGCCTGCGCTGTCCCCTGACCCCAGCGGGGCTGTAGCTCAGATCACACAGATGGCCACCAGGGGCTTGTTATCCCTGCCATGGGGCCTCTGCAGGTCGGGGCCGTCCACTCTCCGCCTGGCCAGAGCCGAGCAGGGCTCCTCTGAGGCGGCCAGGGGTCTTCTGAGACCCTCAGACCCCACACAGCACTCTCTCTTTCTCTTTCCCCTTCTGTCCTTCTCCCCGCCCCTCCGCCCCTGGCTCTGTCTGGCAGGAATGCTTTTCTCCTCTTGTCTCAAAGCGCCGTGGGTGCTGAGCCCTTCCACTAAGGGGGGGGCTTGGGTGCCAGCTGCTTCCACTCCAGCCTGTCGGCTCCTACTTATTTCTCTCTTGTTCTTTCAGGCTCCGCCCAGGACCATGAGAGCAAGTTTCTCCAGGGCCCCCCAAGGGGCAAGGATGGCCGCCCAGCCCACTCCCCACGGACCCCCTCGGACCACCACGTCCTCCTAGCACCCAGCTGGAGGGGCCATGCCTGGGGAGCAGCCCTGCGGAGCGCCACCCCCAACCATGACCAGAGGCCTGCAGTCCTGCCAAACAGCCAGCGCCATGGCCAGCGGCCTAGGCCCCCAGCCTCCCGGCGAGGACGATGCCCCAGCCAGCAGGACCGCCAAGGCCGCAAGAGAGGCGGGCAGCGGGACCCAGGCCATGGAGCCCCCTGAGACCCAGCCTGGGCAGGCTAGGGAGGTGGAGCCCAAGGCCCCTCTCCTGAGAACCCAGCCCCTGAGCAGCCCCCCCAGGAAGGGCGGCAGCCCCCGGGGCCCACTCGGGCGGAGCCACGCACAGGCTCCCACACAGCACGCAGGCAGGGCAGACAGCAGCCCCCAGCAGCTCTACACGCTGAGCATTTCGGGCTCAAGGGCCAGACCCACCCTGGATGAGACCCCGGAGGGTCCACAGTGTGAGGCCCCTCCTGCCCCAGAAGAGCTCGGCTTCCAAAGGTGCTTCCAGGAGACTTCCTCCAGCTTTACCTCCACCAACTATACCTCACCAAGTGCCACCCCAGGGCCCCCACCCCTGAGGGCCCCCCAGAGCAGTGCCGCCAGCCCCTGCGGGCCGACCTCCTACTCCGAGTCCCAGGCCAGTGGAGCTGCCGCCCAGCCTCCCACTGCTGAGAGCAGCTTCCCAGGTGCCAGCTGCAGGGTCCTCCTCCCAGAGCCCGAGCCCTTTCCTGAAAGTGGCAGCCCCAGGGTGGCCTCCTTCCAGATCCCCTTCCCGGCGCTGCGTGGGACCAGCCCGAAGTCCTTCCCCAAGGACACTGCGGGGCCCAAGTACTCTGAGAGGGCACTGTTTGCCTTCCACCAGCCTCGGGGGGAATGGCAGGAGGAGGCGGTGGGCACAGGCGTGGCCTACCCCCTGCCCACCCAGCCTGCTCCCCCACCCCCGCCCTGCTACTCCAGCCAGCCCGGACACCTCGACCCCGCCAGTGACCTCAGCCGTGCTCTCCCCACAACTGGTGCTGCTCGCCCGGCCCCCGGCCCCTTCTCGGAAAGCACAGTCACCTTCCCAGACAGTTTGCACAAGAGCCTGACCAAAGCCCTCCCTGAGAGAACGCCTCCAGCCCACAATGGGCTGGGGAGCCCCAGGGGACCCCCAAGCTCTGTGCCCCAGAGGCACTTTCCCGGGCAGGCTTATGGAAGCCCCGGAGCCAGTGGGGTGGGCACCAGTCCTAGGTCTCTGGACACAGAGGTGGCCACCCCCCCGCCCACCAGACTGCCCCAGCTGTGGGATCCCACCGGAGCCCCTTACCCCACGCCCCCCCTGGGTCCCCCGGCCACCACCAGGAGTGCATTCTTTGAAGGCCAGCCCAGCCCGGGCCAGCAGCTCGGCCTTCCCCGGAGCCCCCCGCTGCCCTGGCCGCAGGTGCTCCCAGCCACCAGGCTCAGCCCCCATCAAGTGGAGATGCTGAGCCGGCTGCCTTTTCCCCCGGGGACCCCTGAGTGGCAGGGGGGCAGCCAGGTCGCCCTGGGTGCTGCGTGCAAGACACCTGGGCCGGGGGAGAAGCTGGCGGTGCACAGCAGCTCCCCGGGGCTATTCCCCTACAATGGGCTACAGGACCCTGGAGCCCAGCCCCTGTTCTTTGGGGTGGCCCAGCCCCAGGTCTCACCTCAAGGGACCCCTGGCCTGCCCACGCCCAGGCTGGTGGGAGCCTCTCCCAGTGAGTCCCCGCTGCCCTCACCTGCCACCAACACAGCCGGCAGCAGCACCTGCTCATCCCTGTCCCCACTGTCCAGCAGCCCGGCCAACCCCAGCTCAGAGGAGAGCCAACTCCCTGGCCCGCTGGGGCCCCCGGCCTTCTTCCACCCCCCCAGCCACCCCCAGGAAAACAACAGCCCCTTCCCCTCCCCCGAGCCCTCACGCGCCCTCTCCATCCACTATCAGCCAGAGCCAGTCAAGACCTTTTCTTTCCCCACAGAGGGGCTGGGGGCCGAGGGCACCTTCAAATGCCTGGAAGAGCCCCCATTCCCCAGTGCAGGCCCCGAGGTGGGAGGCGGGGGGATGGAGGGCTTCCCCCCGGAGCCACCCCCCTACTCTGCCCACCACTTCCCCCTCAGCAGCGCCAGCCTGGACCAGCTGGACGTGCTGCTCACTTGCAAGCAGTGTGACCGCAACTACAGCAGCCTGGCCACCTTCCTGGAGCACCGGCAGTTCTGCAGCCTGCTCCTGGCCAGGACCAAGGACAGCCACCAGCAGCCCTCGGAGATCCCCACGCCTCCCGCGGCCCCCTCCGCGCTGGCTGCCCCCAAAGCACCGGCCAGTGGGAACCCGAGCCTGCTCGGCCCCATGAAGATGGTCCCCTTTCTGCTAGGGGGAGACGTCCGGGTGGATGGCAAAGATGACCCCCTGAGGACAAGTTTCTTGCCCAGCCTGACCACTGCCCCCTTCCCGCTCTCTGCCTCAGACCTGGACCTGGAGGACGATGCCAAGCTGGACAGCCTCATCACCGAGGCACTCAGCGGCCTGGGGTACCAGTCAGACAGCCCCGAGATCGACAGCTGCTTCATCGACGTCTTTGCCGACGAAGAACCCTCTGGCCCCAGAGGTCCCAGTGCTGGGCTGCCCCCTAAGATCAGGGTGGGGGCCACGCCAGACAACAAAGCCCAGCTCCCACCCTCAGCCACGGAGTCCCAGGCCCCCCGACCTGGGGATGGGGTCTACCCCACCTGTAGCAGGCCCAAAACTCGCTCTCTGGGCCCAGTGCCTGCGGAGGCAGATGGGGTCAGCCTGGTCAGCCAGCAGAGGAGAGGAAAGCAGTTGAAGTTTTTCCAGGGAGAGCTGGACACAGCCAGCACTGCCAAGAGGTCAGGCAGGGGCACCAGAGCCGCCTGCCTGAGGCCCAGGAGGAAGGGCAGCAGGGCCGAGCCGGCCCCACCCCGCCCCCGGGACCTCAGGCCCCAAGCCCCCAAGAGCCACACAGACCCCTGTGGCAGGGCCCTCCCGGTGGAGACCAGGAGCTCCAGGCGCCTCCGACTGTCCCCAGGGAAGGCTCCCCGGAGGAGGAAGGCCTGGGGGGGCACCTGGAGCAAGGAGCTCATCCACAAGATCGTGCAGCAGAAGAACCAGCTGCACAAGCAGCAGGCGCAGCGCGGCCCGGCCAGGGGCTTCTCCCTGGGGACCGAGAGGCCCACGCCCAGCACCCCGGACGGCCGGCTCCAGCAGTATGACTACGCCTCGGAGTCCGAGGAGGAGGACACCGTGCGGCCACGGGGCTCCCGCCTCAGAGGCCAGCCCCGCCAACACAGCCCGCAGCGGCGCCGCAGTGAGACGAGGAAGGAAATGGACTTGACGCTGGGTCCCGGAGGAGACGGAGAGCAGCCGAAAGCCAGGGGGGTCGTGAGGCAGGAAAGCACAAAGCCGGGTAGGCCTCGCCCAGACCCCAGTGGGAGCCCTGAGACCCGAGAGGACCCTAAGGAGGAAGGCCCCAAGCGTCTCCTGCAGGGCCCCACTGGCACCGAGACCCCAGGGGAAAACCATCTGTTGCTGGACTCGCCTCAAGATGTTCCTCCTGATCCCACAAAGCTTCTCCGAGGTGTTTGCAGCCCTCCTTCGTCCACCTGTGTGGAGAGAAGTCCCTGTTCCCCATCCGCAGAGCCGCCACCGCCAGGCAGAGAGGACCCCATGGTACCCCACAGGAGCTCATCAGCACCAGGCGCAGGCGGCCTGCTGGGTGTCCCCCGGTGCACAGAAACCCCCATCTCTCGTGACAAAGAGGATCCCCCTGACTACCGGCCGGGAGACTTGCTGGTCCCTGTCACTAGCACCACCGCTGCCTACCCCGAGCCCAGCCTCCTGTTTTTAAAGACCCCTGATCTTGGGTGTGACCCTGCTCTTTTGAACGGAGACTCCGTGGTCCCAGCTGCCAAAAAGGGGCCCTACGGCAGTCCCCCCGGCGAATTGCTCCTTGGACCCAAAGACCTGGCTGGCTGTTTCCCCAAAGACTTGTACTCGAAGGCCTTAGCTCCGGACACTCCGTCAGCCAGCGGCATGCGCCTTTGCCAGGAGGGTGTGCACGCCAGTTCCCTCAAGCCACAGCCCCCCAGGAATCCACCCTACACGGTCAGCGCGGACCCAGGCAAAGCCGAATCACCCCTGACCTTGGAGCCCACACCCCTCCTCTCAGGGCTGCCCGTGGACGACTTCAGCTCGCCGACCTACAGCAGCCTGTCTGGAAACGGGGTTGCACACTCACCCTCTACATGCATTGACCCTCCCCCGGGGAAACCCCCGCTGGACCCCCTGGACCCCTCCTTTCTGCCTGAGAAGGGCTGGCCCCTGCTGAAGGAAGCTTCCCCCATGCTATCCAGTCATCTGGGCCATTTCCCTGACCTCTCGGGGGCAAAGGCATTCGGTAAGAAGGGTCCTCGGGAAAGGACCATGGCCGCCAACCCTCCCCCTTTGCCTTACAAGCTCAGCGAATGTGGCGTCGCTTTTATGAGCAACCTGCCTGAAGATGAATTAGAGATCAAGAGATTGGTCACGGAATTAGAAAGTGAGCTGCAAAGGAGAGGTGTGCATGAGGCCCCAGGAGAGCTGCGCGAGGCTCAGCACGCAGGCAGCCCCCTGCCCGGCCGCCAGGCCGCCTCCCCCCGAAAGGACACGTGCACCACAGCCGAACTCACTGATCTTGGGGAACTGAGTCCACACCAGGAAGGGGCAGCAAGAGCCGTGGCCGCCGTGGTTTCCGAGGTGACGCTAGGAAGCTCCCGGAAGGAGTGGTCCTCATTTCACCCAGGAGAAGCAGCTTCTCCCCCCACCACCCACATAGACCAGGCTTCTGACGCTTCTTTTAGCCCCGCTGGGTGCAGCCTCGGTTTCCAGCCGGTGCAGAACACCAGAGTCTCCAGGAGAGGGCTCCCTGAGGCGGAAGACGGGGGCAGGGTCTTCCCAGAAGCCTGTCTACCCGACCCCCAAGAGCCACTCCAAACCCCGTCGGACAGGGGGAGTTTAGTCAAGTGCAGCCCAAACCGTGAGCCTTTACTTCTTAAAAACAACAGGGCCGCCAGAATCCATCACAACGAAGATGCCCTGCTGCTCCTTCCCTGCAGTCGGAGAGGAGAGCTGTTCCCGGGACCCTGCAAGGCGGAGGGGCCCAGCCGAGACGCCCCTGAGCTGGAAGCACTCAGCAGCCCCGTTGCCCGTCTGGCACCTGACTTGGCATTTCAGTGTGCTGGGGTTCGGCCTCTGGGTGCCACTCCACCTTCTCGTGCCGGTCACAGTGAGGTCTTCAAGGGACATTCTCTAAGAAGCACAGATGGGCCAGAAGGAGCAGGTCCCCTCCACCCTATAGCAGGGGAGCCTGGCTCCGAGGATAACAAGGAATTTGTGCCAACAGGAGCCTCCCCGAGTCCTGCATGCATGCCTAACGCCGGTCCTGGCAGGAGGCCCTCGAACCCAGCGGGAAGCCCCCTGCGTCAACTCCAGCTCCTGGTGGTCAGAGCAGCTGAGAGTGAAGATGATGCCCAGGGCTTACAGGGGCCCCCGCTGGCCGACACCCAGAGCCCTCTACAGAGCCACCCCTCAGATGTGGAAGGGGACAGCATGGAATGTGGGAACGTGGCCCACAGCCCTGCTAAGGGCTTGGATAAGGGTATGCAGACGACAGCTATCCCTGCAATGGCTGGATGTCAGCTGAGACCAGAGGCAAATGACCATCTGGGCTCACTCGGCCAGGCTGAGACGCTCAAAGGCCAAGGCAAAGCCAGCCAGCTGCAAGGAGAGAGCTGGGGACGCCCAGGAGGAGCGGACAACCTCACCGCGGTCAGTGCTGGTCCTGAAGCCACTCTGGCCAGCCTGGCTGGGGCTGCAGACCAGCTCGGGGGGCAGGTCCAGGGAAGCAGACGAAACTTGGGCCTTCAGAATGAGGCACGGTCCCCCCCCAGCCCCATCTCCTCTGATGCGGAATCTTTGGACCCAGCCTTGGCAGCAGCCCATGCCCCAAATGGCCCAGAGGACTGGACTCCAGAGGCAGCCAGTCCAGGCCTTAAGAAGCACCGGCTACTCACTGAGGAGAGCCCGGAGCTCCCCATGAGAGACCTGGCCAGTTGTGCCCCCTTGCCCATTTCTGCAGCCACGCCCGTTCCCTGCAGCCTTGAGCACCTGCTCCAGGAAGACCCTCTCACCGTGCCTTCAGGTGAGCTGAGGGGGCTGCTCCCAGCGTCTCCATCCTGTGGGGACCCTACCAGCACGGAGCACCTGCCAGGCCGCGCTTCTGCCTGTGCAGCTCTGCACAGAGCCGGCCGCACGCTGGCTCCCACAGGTGCTAAGGCTGGGGCGTCCCTGGCAGCCTCCTCATCTTTGAGGACAAACCCCTGTGGCCTCAAGGAAAGCCTGGCTTGCTGCTCTCTCCTAAGGGAACGAAGTCCGCAGGAAGACCCTTCCGCGGGCCAGCCCGGCTTCATCAGTGTCTTCATTTCCACCCATGTGGGGGACCACCCGGAAGGCCACATTCTAGAGGGTTCCAGAAAAGAGAGGCCGAGGGGCTCTCCTGCCTGTGATGTCCCTCCTCCCCCAGCAAGGGCCATGTCCCCAAGACTGACCATCAAGGCTGCTGCCCTACCCGGCATGCTGGTCACAGATGGCATAGGGGCAGTCAGAGGCCCCAAGGCTGAATGTCCAGGCCCCCACACCAGCCCAGACAGGACACCCAGGGGCCCCTCCTCAGAACACCCAAGAAACCGGGAAGACCAGAGCGTCACCGCTGTGCCCGCTGACCCTTCCACCCAGAGGACAGCAGGGCCAGAGCCACGTACCTGCCAGGAAGGGGAGGCAGGGGCCAGCACTCAGGACGAGAAGGACCTTAAGGTACCTGGGGCTGGGAACCCTGGCAGTACCGAGGCCTCAGGAGCTGGCACCAGAGACCCACCGGCCACCTGCCCTTGTGAAGCGCCCCACCAGGACAGCGCCACCTCTCTGAGCAGCACAGCCAGCAACTCCAGACCCGACTCCCCCCAGAGCCTCAGAAATGTCCTCCACCAGATGCCCCAGGGGGACCCTCTGTGTCCTCAGGACCCCAAACAGAAGCCTTGTGGCTTTAAAAAGAGGCCCAGGTCCACTGAGAACAGCCGCTGGAAGAGCCAAGACCCCGCTGGGCAGCCCGCGACCTGCGAGATCTGCTCGGCCACCTTCCGGTCGGGACCAGGCCTGAGCCGCCACAGAGCCAGGAAGCACAGGCTACACAGGGGGGCCCCTTCCCAGCCAAGCCTCCCAGCCCCGCCTGCTCCCCAACCTGGAGATACTGCAGCCCAGACGAGCCAGCCCCCCAGGAAAAAAAGCCGCAGGGCACCTGGGAAGGAGAAGCCAAAGGACAGGCTGAATGGCCCCAGCCATGCTGCTGGGTCACCTCCCATCCGGGGCTCCACAGCTCCGGGGGAGGCCCCAGGTCCTGGGACACCTAAGGGGCTCCGGCAGGGGCTCAGCATTGTGAGAACACCAGGCGGTCCCCCCAGCGAGGAACCAGACCCCCCAGGCCTGGTCAAGCAAGGAGTGGGCTCGAGGCCTGCACAGCCCAGGAAATGGGACTTGTTGCAGAGGGACAAGCCCTGTCCCAAACAGGGGGAGAGAAGAAGAGGCCAGAGGCGGGGTCGAGCGCCCATGGACATCCCCAGTGAGTCAGAGAAATCAAATAAGAAATCAAGAAAGCCGAGAGCTAGAAGGTTCTGGGAGGAGAGTGATCCTCGAGTCTCTCCCGATGTGATTTCAGATAGAAGCCACTGGAGTCCATCCACTGCGACTGTCAATTACCCAGCCCCTCTGAGCCACTGCCTCTCGCAGGAGGCAGAGCAGGAGACTGTCACACAGCCACCCCTCGTGGCCACAGAACTGGAGGAGACATCAGCACGGAAGTCACCTGGGAATTGGGTGGCTCGTCTAGGGAGGGTGGAGGGGGTGCCTCCTGCAGAAGGGACAGGAGAGCAGAAGGCAGCCTTGGCAAGGGGGTGCTGGGGACCCAGAGAGACCGGGACATCAGGTGTCTGCAGAGAACCATCAAGTGCAACTAGGAGTACACCTGCAGGGCACAGCACAGCAGCCAAGAGCGGGTCAGGGCAAAGTGTCTGGGAAGGACACAAGTCCCCCTGGGGCCCCCCAGGCCCTCCAGAGACTCACGGTTCTGAGGCAGGTGACACCATTAGCAGCTGCCTCCAGGGCCTCCGGCACAACCCAGAAGACGGGATCCAAGAGCGTGAAGGCATCACTCCTGAAGCCCCTGGCCTGAGTCTCAGGGACCCGCTGAGCCTGTTTGATGACGAAGCCTCCTTTTCCCAGCTCTTCCCTCTAGGCAACCGCTTGACTCGGAAGAAGAACCCCCGCGTCTATGGGAAGCGCTGTAAAAAGCCCAAGCCTCCGCCGTTGCTGGAGCCCAGTGGGGACTTCCAGGGCAGCTCTGCTATGCCCTCCACCCACATGCCCACAGATCTCAGTGACTCAGGCTCCCTCTGCCTGTCCCACGAGGACCCATGGAGTGATGAGGCCATGGGCCTGCCTGAGTCCTTCCTTCTGGAGGGCTTCCTCAGCAGCAAGGTGCCTGGCATTGACCCCTGGGCCCCGGGACCCAGCCTCTGGGCCCTGGAGCCTGACCTGGAGGTAGAATGTGCCGAGCAGGGACCCTCCTGCAGTGCTGAGGACCACCCATCAGAGAACATCCCTGAGCTGCACATGGTCCCAGCAGCTTGGCGAGGCCTGGAGCTGCGGACCTCCACCGATGAGACCGCCTCTTCCCTCGGAGACGTGAGCCCCGAGCCCCCTAACCTGGAGCGAGAACACAACTTCGGGCTCCCGGGGAACACTGTGGATCTGGAGAGGCTCAGCACCAGACTCGAGATGCAAGATCTATGCTTCCTGGGACCCTGTGAAGACCCTGTGGCTCTCCCCAGCATGAGCCTCTTAGACTTCAAGGCCACAGAGAACTCCCACGGACCACGGAGTAAAAGGACAGAGGAGGTGTCTGGGGCCAGAAGGGCCACAGGCAGAGACCGGAATGCCAAGGCCAGGAGGGCGCCCTACAAATGCAGGGTGTGCTTCCAGCGCTTCCACAGCCTGGGGGAGCTGGACCTCCATAAGCTGGCCCACAGCCCCTCGCCACCCCCCACCTGCTACATGTGTGTAGAGCGCAGGTTCGGCTCTCGCGAGCTGCTGCGTGAGCACCTGCAGGAGAAGCATGTGCAGGGCCGGGCGGGGCTGTGGGCCTGCGGCATGTGCCTGAAGGAGGTGGCCGATGTCTGGATGTACAATGAGCACCTGCGGGAACATGCCCTACGGTTTGCCAGAAAGGGGCCGGCACGGAGGTCCCTGGGAGACCCACCTGGATGCTGGGACGGGGATAGCACTGTCACACACTTCCTGAGCAGCATCATGGGACAGGCATCCAAACCCCAGAGGGGCAAGTGCTCAGTGGGCCAGGCAAATGGAGGCCCTGCAGAGAGGGAGTGGGCAAAACCCAAGGCTCGTACCAAAAACTCAAACCAAGATGGCACTTTGATGCCAGACAGCACCTTAGCCAATAGCAGCCTGTCAACCTGTGCAAACCCCACTCTGCCCAGTAGTTCCGCCACTCTCCCCGGCTCCACCAAGACATACCCCAGCCCATCCCCTGACCCCTGCTCCACCCGAGAGCCCCTACTCCACACCATCCAGGTGCACCAGGACTGCAAGGACCCGTCCAGAGACTGCCACCACTGCGGCAAGCGGTTCCCCAAGCCTTTCAAGCTGCAGCGCCACCTGGCGGTGCACAGCCCACAGCGCGTCTTCCTGTGCCCCCAGTGCCCAAGGGTCTACCCTGAGCCCCGAGAGCTGCGTGCTCACCTCGCCAGGGACCACGGGGTGAGGGAGGAGCTGGAGCTGCAGCACACCCCACTGTATGCCTGTGAGCTCTGTGCCAACGTCACCCACATCAGCAAGAGGTCCTTCATCTGCAGCTCCTGCAACTACACATTCGCCAAGAAGGAGCAGTTTGACCGACACATGGACAAACACCTGAGGAGGGGACAGCAGCCCTTCACATTCCGAGGGGTGCGGAGGCCAGGTGCCTCTGGGCAGAAGCCCCAGGCACGGGAGGGCTCACTGCCTAGCAAACGTCGCAGAGTGGCCACGCCCAGCAGCACCCCTGGGCCTGTCGTGGACAGGTCTCTGTCTCTGGGCAGCATACCCACCTTGAGGGAGGCATCCCTCACAGCCCTGCTCCAGCCCTGCCTAGAGGCCATTCCTGGGGGCACCAAGAGTCAGCCCAGGACCCCAGAGAGGCCCCTGGATCCTGTGGGACACCTGGCCAGGGACAACAATCTGCCCTCTGATTCCCAGGGGCTCATTCTCCCATCTCTGTCTCCTTTCCCAGCAGCCTCAGCTGATAGCAAAGATGGCCACAAGCCAGACCAAGCCCTGGAGAGCCTCACGGACGAGGCTTTCCCAGGCAGCCCTGGGCCTCTTCCCCAGCAGGCTCTCCCGCTGGACAGCTTTCTGCCCCTGCCGGGGGCCAGAGGCCAAGCCACAGAGGAACAGAGGGCTGGTAGCCTGCTTTCGGGGAAAGGCAGGGTCCCAAGCGCCCCTGGCAAATGTGCCTCAGACCATTACCCAGAAGCCCCCTCCCTGCTCGAGAAGGAGAAGCAGGTGTCCACATGCCACCTGGTGTCAGAGGAGGACAAGGGAGTTTCCTCCCACAAGGGCAGTACCACCAAGCACGGGGGCTGTCGGAGTTCGTCAAAGGACAGGCCAGCTTTGTCCATCCCCAACAAAGCACCCAAGTTTCCAGTGCAATCAAAGAAGGCCGTGGCCAGCCCGACACCTGGAGAGCCCGCCCGTGGCACTGAGGACAGACAGAAGCCCACTGCCCTCAAAGCCAAGCTGGGGTCCAACTCCCAGGGCAACGGCACCAAGACAGCAGGTGGCAGCCAGCCTCAACCAGCCAGTGGGCAGCTTCAAAGTGAGACAGCCACCACCCCAGCCAAGCCCAACTGCCCTGTCCAGAGCCCTGCCCCAGACAAGCCTCCCACTCGAGCCCCAGCCAAGGGTTACTCCAAGGCACCAAGAGAAGCTGGTGACCAGGGGCCCCAAGGGAGCCTGGTCCCCAGGGAGGACAGAGAGGGCAAAGAGAAGAAGAGAAAGAGCCGGGCCCTGGGGCCAAGCAGGAGTGACAATGTGGGGAGCTTGGGGAGAACCCCTTCAGTCCCTGACAAACCCCCCCGGGCTCCCCGGAAGCAGGCTGCTCCCAGCCGTGTTCTCCCTGGCAAACCCAGGCACAGTAGCCAGAGTAGCACTACACTGCCCCAGCCCTCGGAGCAGCAGAGGGGGGAGCACAGCCACACACACCCGGACTTCAGACGCAGCAAAGATGGATTAGGCAAGGCCTTCCCCCAGGTGAGACCCCAGCACAGGACCCCCAAGAAGGGCAGAGCTGTCCGCGGTGCTGAACACGCCAATCCTCGAGCCTGCTGGACCGCTGAATCCCAGAACGACCTCCTCAGCCAGCTCTTCGGACAGAAACTAACCAGCTTCAAGATCCCTTTGAAAAAGGACCCCTCTGAGTAATTTATAGGAGTGAGCGAGTGCATGGGAGAAGGGCTGGGGAACAAACCCAGTGAATAAGGGACTCCTGTCTACATTGGCGAGCTTCAGTCCTCTGAGATAGTTTGATCGGTGGCCACATCTTAATCCACTTGACTTACCATGCAAATGACTTACGAAGTCTAACACAGACTTCGGTGTTAGAGCTGAGACTCTAATGCTTTGAACAAAGCCTGGGGTTGGTAGACAGTAAATCTCTTTCAACCCAGAGGTGAGGCTGAGGGGCAGGCCAGCCGCAGGCTCTTTGAGACCACGCAGCTATTTTTTCAGTACCAAGAACTTGAAGAAAGAGCAGCTCACACCTTGCACCCCATGTGCCCCTCCTTTAAAGATTTGCACGGGGTCCCCTCAACCCCCATGTCATCTAGCAGGGAAGTGCGTTGAGGCAGCCACAGTCGGATCGCAGCAGGCCCCCTCTTAGTCTTGTTGCTGCTGTTGCTGCAATTCCGAAGTGGCCTTACAAATTAAATGGGGGTGGGAGGGCAGGGCTCTCTGCCTGGAAGATCGGTTTGTGAGCTACCTAGCCCTCAGAGCACAGCAGGCCTTCTCTGACCATATGGCCGTGATGGCCACTATCCATGCCACCAACAGGAGTGCTGGTCTCCAGTGCACCTTGACTGCTGAGGACCAGGTTCCAATTTGGACAGAGAGGAAGCTGCTCATCTGCCGGCTCCCACCAGTTCTTCCTCCCCACCCCACCCCACCCCCCCACACACACCAGCCTCTGTGGTTGCCTCTCTAGAGCCTTCCTCCTACACAGAGCTCTTGGTTGCAAGTATCAGCAATTCAGCTCTGAAGTTTCTGGTGCTATTTTCATGTTGTAATGTGAATACAGGCTTCCTTGATTTGTTTTACCTGGGTGATTGGGAGAGGGGACAGGGTGGGGAGGCGCGATGGGGGCTGCACGGAAGGCCCACAGGCACCAGCCGCCCCAAGAAGTCTTTCACTGGCTCCCCGGCCAGCAGACTCCAGCCCCAGGGTTGCAGTCAAAAAAGCTGGCTGGAACACTCAGGGCCGGGTGCGACGCTGCAGGCATCTCATGCACTGACGTGACCCAGGGGTCGGGATGCGTGTCCTTTTTACAGAATCGTGTCTTCAGAGGGAGTAGGAGTGTGGGAGAGGCTTCCTTCTGTTCTTGGGTGACTGAGGTTCATGGTCTGTTTCCTTCTATTTTTTTTTTTCACTTTTACTTTGGGTACAATGTGCATATCAAAGGTTTTTACTTTGGTGTTTTGAAAGAGACCAAATCAGGCCCAAATCTCCTTTCCAAAAGGTGTCGTGTGCCACTCGGAATGCCTCTGTAGTGCTGATAAATACAACATGGGGGGACTCTGAGGCTGTACTGTACGAATCACAGCAAACTCATCCTGTCAAATATATTCCCACTATTTTCACAGAAAGTCTGCTGTGTGGCGTCGGCCCTCCTGTCCCGCCCGTTCACGGGCAGAGCCTGGCTCGAAAAGGCTTGGCTTCAGCTGCCATTTCTGTCCTGTCACCAGGGCTACCTGGCCCCAGAGAGCCTCCCCCAAGCAGGAAAATGGTCTCACTAGCCCCTCCCGGATCGATAACATGGTACAGATAATGCAATAGGGTATCCTCACTTTGTTTCTGAAGCTTCACGGCTCTGGTCTGGGGCAGCAGAGCCGGAGAGACGGGAAATCATTCGTATAGCTCAGTCTCGGGGACGTGGGAAGGCAGCAGAGGCAGCATGAGGGGTAAAGCTAAGAGACACTCCCTGACCACAGGCTCAGACCCCCAGGGCCCACCGTGTCCTGAGGACCCCCTCAAAGACTCCAGTGTCTGGGACAAGTGCCTGGATGGCAAGCAAGGCCACTCAGAGTCCGACACCCATCTGGTCCTGCCCTTGACAGACACCTGGGCCCTGGCATGAGGGGTACTGCTCAGAGAAGGCCCCCAATAATGTGCTGGGTAGAAGAGGGGAGCCTCACCAAGCTCTTTCTACAAGGAAAGGGGTCCCACCCATGAAACTGTAACTGGGGTCTCATCACTTCTGTCCAGGCCCACAAGGCCCCTGCCCCAGCTGCACCCCCTGCCTGCCCTGCTCACCTTCAACCCACCAAGCCCAGGTCCTCTCCCTCAGTCTTAGCCCCTCCCACTGGTGTGCCCCAGCCTCAGGTGGGCAGCCATGAGGGACTCTGAGAGGGCCTGGCCATCCCCCACCCATTTACACACCTATGCGGCACTGGGAAATGGACCAGAGGCAGCCCCCCCCTCGGAGTTTCCAGATTCTGTCAGGAGTAGGGAGCTTTATAGTCCCTTTGGGGAGGGTCTCTGTGGCAGGGTCTCAGACAGGATTAGAGATCAGGAATGTGGAGGGCCCTGAGTGCCACACAAAGGAGAGAGAGGGTGGGGGTGGGGTGGATGAGTTTGAGCCATGTTTAAGAAAGGCTGTCTGGGGACTCAGCATGGAGACCCACGAGGCCCAGGGGGTCCGCAAGACTGGGTGCTCTCATTCCTGGGTGCCCCCGTTTAGCCCACCTACCTCAGGCAGGGCCTGGGGCCAGCGGCATCTACATCACCTGGGAACAGGGTGGACAGACTCTTCCAGGCTCTGTCCCAGATTGCACTCAGATGCTCTGGGGCAGGTGAGCAAGCATTCTGTTGTCACATGCCCTTGGGGTGATGCTCTCAATATTTGGGGACCCACCATAGCTCCAGTCTGCTCAGGGATTGGCATGAATAAGCCACTTCGCTCCTGTGGCAATAGCCCCCTTCTGCAGTCAGAGCCCCTGCCCCCCACCCCCACCCCCAGGCACGTGGACATGCCTGACTGGCCAGCAGGTGGCAGCATTTGCCCAGCTAGGCTGGGCACCTGGGCTGGGCAGCTGGACTCCAGGCCTGGAGTCACCCACTGCTTTCACATGCAAACACAACAGACACACCCCCTTCCTCCTCGCCAAGTGGCTCAGAAACCCAAGCTTACTGCACATGCGTGTGCACCCTTCCATGGCCTTACACACGCTGACATGACCTGCAGCCTCACACCCGGGCGAACACAGGACTTGTCCAGACACACAGAGACATGAGTGACTGTGGGTATGTCTAGGGGGACCTGGCTCTTGAGAGGTCCCCAGACAGGCATCCCCAAGGGCCTGTTTGAGACATGGAATGGGCTGGATGAGGATGGGAGAGAGTTTGGGCAGGAGCACACTGTTTCCTGAGGACCCAAGGAAGTGCCCGGCTATGCTGCAGCTGTGAAAACAGGGCACAGCCCCCCACTCACCCCTGAGTGTCCTCAGGCAAGGCCACTTCTGCCCTGGTTCACCATCTAGGGAGCCTGCCGGGTCCCTCCAGGGGCTGCCAGAGGCAGGCAGAGGTGGGGAAGGAGGTCATGTCTCCTCTGCTAGCAGAAGGTCACATAAATGTCTGTATTATTCAACTGCATCCTCTGATGGGTCCCAAAGCCTGCCCCAAAGAGCTCTCTGCCCCACCAGCTCAGAGACAAGCAGGAGAGAAGATGGTGCCTGGGAGCAAGTGTGGAGGTGCAGGTGGAGGGTACAGGCTGGAGAGTGGGAGAGCAGGGGCGTGCCTGGACTTGGGTGGTCCTTGGGTGTTAGGGACCCAGCAGCCAGAGGGAGAGCAGCTGGTGGTGGAGTGACAGGCCAGCCTCCCTCCCCCCCCCCCCAGACCCTATAAATGAGGAGCTTTGCTGGGCACATTCACCTGGGGACCCAACTGGAGAAAGCTGCTTAAAGTGGGCTTCCCTTCGCTTCTGGGGCCCAAACGCCTTAGAGAGCTGGTCTCCCCAGAAAGTGTGCAGATAGCCATGTTCACCCAGTGGGAAGGATCCCACAGAGCTGGCCTCAGAGAAGCAGACAGCCACCATGGAAGGGGCAAATCCTTGGCACTCTGGAGTGGCCAGTGTCAGGATTCCTTGAAGCACCCCCAGGAGCAGTTAGGTCTTAGAGACCCTTTCGTCCTGCCCATGACACCTGTCAATGTGCTGCACGTGGGCTCTGAAAATCCTGAGGCCAAGTGACTCCCGTTTCCCTGCCTGCCCGGTGGGTGGGCAGCACATGTCCTGCAGAAGCCTGCCCTCAGGGCCCAGGGTCCGACTGCTGTGGGGATGGTGGCCCCAGGCAGCCTCGTAGAGCCCCTCAGGGCCATCTCTCTTTTCTGCCCACTCTGGGCACCCAAGGCCATGGCCTCTTTCCCACAGGGCACTGTCTACCTCACTGACTGGCTGGGACGGCCTTGTGGGCTGCAGCTCAAGGCCACAGGCCTCCTCCCCAGAGCCCCCAGGCAGAGAGGAGACAGGACTGGGCCTCCCAAAGGCCAGAGTTTGTCTGGGCCTGAACAAACCGCACTTTGGCCTGCCCTGCTGCGTGACCCCCGGATCATGTCTGGGACCTAGGAGGGAGGGCAGGTGTGTTCGGCCACAGGCACTACGGATGATCAGGCTCTGGGCTGGGAGGCAGGAGACCTCAGGCTCATCACCATCCTCTGCACTCAGTTTTCCCACCCATTAAATGGGCATAGCAAAAACCCTTCCAGCCATGACACTCGGAGACTACCTCTTAGACCTAAGTGGTGTGGCTGGACTGGTGGGTCTCACTCTTCTCCCCTCCTCTCCCCTCAGCATGCACTTGGCTCCTCCTTCAGGCCTATACTCAAATGACATTTCCTGTCTGTGGACTCCCCTGTTTAAGGTGGTAGCTGCGCCCCCAGAGCCCACATAGGCTGACTCTTTCTGCTGTCCCTCAGATGGACTTCCCTCTAATGGGTCTGGTGTGCCCCAGGGCCCACTCCTTAATGTTTGTAGGTGGGAAGAAGGGAGGAAGGGACAAGAGAGAAAGGAAGGGAGTAGGGCCAAGGGCTGGGAGCAGAGGAGGAGGGGAGGGAACAGGGCAGGAGGGAAGAGGCGAGGAGGGAAGAAAGAAGGAGAAAGAAAGGAAGTTTTCCTGTGGGTAAGTGTGCATTTCCTATCTGGTGATATAACCACG